ATCTCAATACCTGTTTTTAATTAAACATAGTATCAGTTCATCCACTGTTAAAAAGAAGTGGGGAAGGGAAGAGAGCCAATACATTACAGACAACCATTAATTCAGTTTAGTAGAGAGTATCAGGCTTATCATTTTGATTAGTGGCACTCATTAAATATGTTTTCAGTGTGTATTTCCGGGAACTAAAACAAGTAAGGATGCTACTCTGCTTTACTGGGGGCAATCCCACATCCTGTTAAGTTGGTTTTTATAATATGTGTTTGGCTTCCTAAAATAGGCATAAACAGCCTTATTTAGATCTATGCTATTTATTTCCACAGGGAAGGAACCTCAGAACTTTTTAACAATAGGTTATCTTCTTTTTTTAACACCTCTGTTGTGATGAAGAAGGAAAAATACATGATACCCAGGGCAAAAGAAGATTGAGCTTAATTACAAAAATTTAAAAGCAGAAAAATTCACATGGTGGCTTCTTAGAAAAAAACATTTTCTTCCTTTCATCTCAAGGCAAACCACTTTATCTACCATGAAGCATAAATACTATGTTCTTCCTTTAAAAAATTTGTTGAACTTATATCCTTTTTTACTGAAAGAATCTGGAATCTTAGATTTAATTTTGTAATCTTCAAGTCTTCCTAACATATTTGTGCAATCTGAACAGTCGACTGCTATTCAAAGCCACTAGACGAACTAAATAGCTAAATCAGTTCATAAATAGTTTTCTCAAGTGAAAACTTCACACTGAAATGATACTTTTGACAGAACATTTATAAATTACAATTTTTCTAAATCCCTTTGGAGGAGAAAAATTTTAAGTGATGGAACAAAAATAAAGTTATATTATTCATTTACCATGTTTAATGATCCAGTGTACATTACTTCAGAGCAGAGGTTTACAAAGCACAATCAACACACTGAGTGATGCATGATTAAATATGCCAAGGTATTAATTATAATGCCACTTTACATGTGTATAGAACAGTCCAGTTTGCAAAGCACTTACACCCATAAACTCATTTAACTCCATGTGTCTATCAATTTAAATACAACAGATATGAGTCCATTTGGATAAGAAAAAGCCATGTACTAAAATGGTTAAGAGCATGGAATCTGAAGCCATCTGTCTGGTTTCAAATCCTAGCACTGCCACTTACTAGATATGTGATTCTGGTACATTACCCAACATTTCTGCGCCTCAGTTTTATCATCTGTAAGATGGGGATAACAATCATTTCTACCTCTTGGGCCACTAAAGAAATCAATTAATATATGTCAAACACACAGAATAGCATCTATCACAGAGTAACCATTATATATTATATATGCTGGTTGTACTTAGTGCAGTATCATTTTATGGATAGAGAAACAAGCTAGTTAAGTCACAGAGCCAGAAATAAAAACTAGATCTTCTTCTCTTTGATGCTCTATCCACAGAGGGCTGGGTTGTTTTTGTAGAGTTTAATGTGGAATTGTACAAATCAAAAAATTCAGCAGCACAAAACATTTATAAAATTGTAATCTGTTTATATATACATTTAAGTTAAATTGCTTATTAAAAAAGCAAATATTCCATTTTGAGGACAGAACTGTACACTAAGGAGTAGTTATCTGTGTTGCTATATTTTAAAACAAAACTCTTGTTTCACTTTTCAAAAGACCAAAAAGGCAATAAAGCCCATCATATCATGTTACTATGATGATCATTACTTCAATTTATCAAATTAAAAAAGTCTAGAAGGAAATATACTAAGATGATAATAATGACTACATTAGGATCTTTTTTTCTTGGTTTCAAAACATTCAGTATTATGATATAACATTCATAACTTTTTATAACATAAAAAATTTTAAATTTCCAAAAAAAGTTTATCAAGTATTAAAAATAGCATTGGTAAAAGAAACACTTAGAAATAATTCTAGAAAATAATAAATGCCCAGCTGAAAAACTATCATCTTCTTTCAAACATATTTTAGGTGTCTTTCCTCAGACTTTGTTCAAACTTCTTCCCTTTAGTGATTTAGGCGACTGTGATAACATCTTCCACTGTAACCAAAAAATAGGGCATGGGTGTGTAAATTTATGAGCTGAAATGCAAAACTGGCACTGGATGTCTAAATAAGAGCATGAAATCATTTAGCATACTCTAGTATAAAAATGTATTTTAAGCATTGATATCTACATGCTTTGCATATACATAAAGATGCATAGCATCTTTAATTGTTTCATATGAAGTGAAAAAAATGTGAAGTAATAATGAACTTTTTTTAACATTCTCAAATATGCCAAGTCACTTCTTCAGAGATTTACTTGGACAAAGCGCTCCTTCACTCCATGCCTCAGATTCCTTCTTTGAATAAACAGACTAGAACATCAGTGGTTCTCAACCTTCTTTCCACCCCAGCCCATCTGGGGGATTCCACATCTTTCATTTACAGCAGTGGGGACAGTCTGAAAATGTCCCACAAATATTTCTGATACACTACCCTAGACGCTGGCTCCAGCCCCTGCCCTCCACTCAACTCCAAACTGCAGTTCTCTGAGGTTCTGCACCGCTTTAAGGTCTGCCACTTTAGGTACAGGAAAAGTACAACCCAATGACCTAGAAGGTATCTGACAGTGTTATTCCAATACACTTAAAAAGAAAGGCCAAAAGTTAATACGTATCTTCTTTTGTTGGAACACACAAGATTCAAGTAAGAATTAATATACTGATGATATCAAAGAAGGCTTTATAACTGTTCATAAGGCAAAAAGCACACCTCACTTGGAACTGGCTTCTAATCAAGGAGGCGTAAACAGTAGGAAAAGTGGAGAATCAAACAAAATAACACTCCTTAAAGTACGAGGGAATGATATGAACATGTGATATGTGCTTAGTGGAAAGGAGATTTATGCAAGTCAACTTTTCTGATAACAGGAAAGGGAAGTCTAAGACTGGCACACAGAGATGGGATGTTATGTGATCCCCAATTTATTCTCCAAAATATCAATTTGTTACAGGCCTAACATCAATTCTATGTGATTTTTTTTTCTTTTACCAAACAACTCTGTTATAAACTAATAATAACTAATAGTTAACAAAAATATGATTTGGGTATATTCCATATTATAAATATTCAGCATGGTGACTGACAATTGCCCAGTAAAGTATTTACAAATAGTGTCCATTTTCTTTGAATGTTTACTTCCTGTGGATAAATTCTACATTATTTAAAACTTATTGTATATGCAAAGTCTTGTGAAGAATTCTCACAAGTAGGAAAGAAGGAAATAGAATTTTAAAACTTCCTTGGAATAAGTGTATCGTTATTTTTTTTTAAGATTTTTATTTATTTATTTGACAGAGAGAGAGAGACACAGCAAGAGAGGGAATACAAGCAGGGGGAGTGGGAGAGGGAGAAGCCGGCTTCCCGCTGAGCAGAGTCCCAGGACCCTGGGATCATGACCCGAGCCGAAGGCAGATGCTTAATGACTGGGCCATCCAGGCGCCCCACTGGAATAGGTGTATTGTTTAATTCAAATGTAAGCCAATATTACATATTATTAATAAGCATACATGACAAAGATGCTGATTAGGACTTTGAAATTAGGGTAATTTTGAATGTGTAATTGCATTACTTTCAAATCAGAAAACATGAATCAATAAATACGGATTGTTAGCTTTATGTTTTATAGAGAGAAGACCCTCAAATGGCGCGCGCGCGCGCGCGCGCGCGCGCACACACACACACACACACACACACACACAGTATTCTACGGATTCAGTGTTTGAACAGCAACAAAAAAAAGGCTGGACCTGAAAGTTGCTGTCCTCTGTACCAGAAGATGCCACCAGTTGTGACTGAGAACACAATGTATATATCTCCATCACTTCATGCCTTAAAAGTTAATAAAATTTTTCTGTAGCATTGATTTCTTCTAAAATTATTTACCAGACATGCTATCTATTGTTGACTTAACTTGCTGAAACACTGCATTTAAAAATAAATTCTCAGTGTTCTCCATATAACTGTAAACCTTTTAAAAACCTGTGTCAGTGACCAGACCCATAACTCAACAAGAAATAAATGAACAGAAAAAAAAAATGCCCCAACCCCAATTTTGTAAGATGTTCACATCTGAAAGAGTAGCAATAAATACAGTATTATGCAAGAGAAGGCAATTCCTTACAGAGTTGGGATGGATAAACATGTGTTGAATGAATATATACATTTCTTCTTCATTCTATTCTCATGTGTCAAAGCATCAAACAACTTATATTGTGGCAGTTTCTGCTGTGTCTCGAACTTTACATGTAAGTTTATCATGAGGGGGAAAAAACCTGTTTGGCTTGACTCACGATGAATCACAGCCAGGAGGTCATCTTGTTGTGTATCAGCAACTATGTTTTCACTACAGCTATGTGACCTGAAGTGGCAGCAGAAGAGGCACCAAAATAGAAAAGGCAAGAGGCTTCTCCTGGCTTCTGGGCCCCAAATGGGCTTTTCCAGCCCATTCAGGGATCTAAGCAGGAGCCAACCACAGAAGAGAAAAAGAACAAACCCACAGCATCGAGGAGAAAGACTGCAGGCCCACCACACCTTCCTTGCCCTCTCCGGGAGCCCGGGGAAGCAAGAACATAAAAGAACGGGCGTGGAGAAAACACAGCATGACAGGAGCCAAAACTAGACCAGTGTAGGGCAAAATCCAGCCGTGACCGTAAAGCCCAGATGTGGGGAAGGTCTGGAGCCCGAGAAGGATCTCCACCCAGGGACTCCCGGCCCAGCTCCGGCGCTAGCGCGCAGCGGGGCCCCCGCCTCCAAGCCACCCGGGACCTGCCCCTGCTCCCACCTCACCTGTCCAGTGCCCGCTGGCCCCGCCGGCATCTCCGGCCCCCTGATCCCCGCGCACCCTCCCATCCCGTGCCCTCCCGGCGCGTCTTTCGGGACCATCGCCGGGGTCAGTGTGGGCAGGGAGCCGAAGCGCGCCCCGTCGCCCCAGGCCTGGCCCGGGCACTCACTTTCTGAATCCTCTTCAGCGCCATGGGTCAGGGAGGGCGGCGGGGACACCGGCCGGCTGGGGGCAGCTACGGGGCGCGGGGGCGTAGGGTCGTCGTGGGCTCGACTCTCTGGCTGCTCTGCTGGCTCAGCCCGGGGGTCCCCGGCTCGCTGCTCGCTGCTCGCTGCTCGCTGGCTCGCTCCGTGCGCCGGTGCCTGTTCCGTGTGCGCCGGAGCGCGGGTGTGCGCGAGTGTGCGGGCGAGGACGCCGGCGAGACTCTTTTGTTTCCGCTTTTGCTTCTGGGAAGGAGCCTGCGCCCTCCCCGCCTGCGCCCCGCCTCGCCTGGCACACTGGGAACTGTAGTTCCAGCCCTGTCCTCTGCCGTTGGCCCGGGGCGACGTCGGGTTACTCACTGCTGACTTCAACCCAAGCCTGGACTTAGAACTGCGCAGTCATGAGTTGGTCTCTGCAATTTGAATTTGATCGAGTTATGAACTGAAGTTCCCAATCTGTAAAATAGGAATAACAAATTAGCTCGGAAAGCACTCACAGGAATTTCCAATAGAATTTCCAATACAGAGATCCTGTTATTTTTACTTTTGTAGAGTGATCGCTCTTCTCAAACATATAAATTTACTAAATTTCTCACATATGCACAGACATACCCATTATGGCTCCTTACTTACCTCCTTAGTTCCTATTTCAAAAGGCACCTCTATCCACTGTTAATCCCGCATGTCTGCTTCTCCTTGGAACTCCAAATTCTGAGATTCACCACTATTGCCTCCTTCCCTTCCTTTCACTACCTACTCAATACAATCTACTCCCATTCCTCACTCCCTCAATTCTTATGAACTTGTGTGCTCATTAAAACTTGGCTTCTACTTTCAGTACAAGCAAAATCGGTCTTCACCAAGGTCAGTCTTGAGCTTCTAATTACCAAACCCAATTCACTCCTCATCCTTTCTGATGTTTTTGAATCATTTGATGACTGGCCATCCTTTTGCTTTTCAAAGCACTCAGGGACACTATCTTCCATAGCACCATGGTAACTGGGTCTTAAACTTCTCTGACTTTCCTTTTCACTAGCTCCTCTTCTCAAGAGCTGGAGTGCCCCAGAATTCCAAGCCCTGATCTCATCATCAATATCTTCCTAGAAGATAAACCTTCTGGCCTCCCATAAACTGGGAGGCTGCCCAGGGTGATTGGAGGAGCATAGGCTTTGTAGACTGATCCCTTTGACCCCTACCTACTGTTTGACCATGGCTAAGCCACTTTAAACTCTCTAAGCCTCAGTTCCTTCATCTGTCAATAGAGATAATAATCCCTGGATGTATCAAAATTAATTGGTATTAAAATATACACAGTACCTAATATGTTGAAAGTTTTCTATAAAAGTTACTTACCTTTGGAAGAACAAATATTGTTAAAATGTCTATATTACCCAAAGCAATCTATACATCTAATTCAATCCCTATCAAAATACCACCAGCATTTTTCAGAAAAGTAGAACAAGTAATCCTAAAATTTGTATGGAACCACAAAAGACCCCAAATAAACAAAGCAATGCTGAAAAAGCAAAGTTGGAGGCATCACAATTCCACCCTCAAGTTGTATTACAAAGCTGTAGTAATCAAAACAGTATGGTACTGGCACAAAAACACAGACATATAGATCAATAGAACAGAATAGAAAATCAGGAATAAATCCACAATTATATGGTCAATTAATCTTCGACAAAACAGGAAAGACTATCTAATGGAAAAAAGACTCTTTCTTCAAAAAATGGTGCTGTGAAAACTGGACAGCCACATGCAAAAGAATGAAACTGGACCGCTTCCCTACACCATACACAAAAATAAATTCAAAATGGATTAAACCTAAATGTGAGACAGGAAACCATCAAAATCCTGGAGGAGAACACAGGTAGCAACTTCTTCGACATTGGTTGTAGCAACTTCTTACTAGATATGTCTCCAGAGAGGGAAACAAAAGCAAAAATAAACTATTGAGACTATATCAAAGTAAAAAGCTTCTGCACAGTGAAGGAAACAGTCAACAAAACTAAAGGTCAACCTACTGAATGGGAGAAGATATTTGCAGATGACATATCCAATAAAGGGTTAGTAACCAGAACCATAAAGAACTTATAAAACTCAACACCCCCAAAATAAATAACCCAGTTAAGAAATGAGCAGAAGACATGAACAAACATTTTTCCAAAGAAGACATCCAGATGATCAGCAAACACATGAAAAGATGCTCATCACTGGGTGGTGTAGGTAAATGATGAATCACTAAATTCTATTCCTGAATTCAATATTACATTACATAGTAAATAATTAGTATTTAAATAAAAATTTGGGGGAAAAAAGGAAAAGATGCTCATCATCACATTATCAGGGAAATGCAAATCAAAACTACAATGAGATATCACTTCACACCTGTCAGAATGGCTAAAATCAACAATACAAGAAACAACACATGTTGGTGAGGATGTGGAGAAAAAGGAACCCTCTTGCACTACTGTTTTTTAAATAATGGCTTTAATCATCATTTTGAGTATATGGTAGGGGAAAGTGTAATTAAATATACATCATACCAGTGATGCTGGCAACGTTGAGTTAACCCTAATGTTGATAGCTATAAAAACTAGTTTGTACATGACAAGACAATGAGAGAAAAAAAGCAATCCCTTTTGAAACAAAATTTTAAAAAAGTGTTCACAGTGGTTTGCATCAACAGTATGTATTTTATGACAATAACATGTACAGATTGAGCACCCTAGGGCTCTCTTTATATCCTAAAGAAAATGAGCATTTCATCATTCATGGGTTGAACTGAATTTTAAAAAGATCAGTTGTATACTTACCTCTTAGACAGGATAAACTGTTCTGGGGCATACAGCTTTAACACCATCATTAAAGTTGTTTGCAAAAGGACTACAGAATTTAAAAAAACAAAACATTTTTTTCTTGGGAGTGGAGAGTCTTTCATTTGCTGTTATAATCAGCAAATGCCATTCATTAACTCAAAAAATGGAAGCGGGGCCTCACAAACACACTATTTGAGCAAGCTGACCAATACACATTACAGTTTTAAAAATGAAGATTATATACTCTATATTACAAGTCCCAACTAGGCAGTGTCAAAATGACATCTATTTCTTTGCTTGCTTTGTGATCATACTCCTTGGAGGTGTTACAGGTCTCATGGCATTCAGCTTCTTTTTCTCTGCAGGCCTTAAAATCTGAAAAGAACACATTAGAGTTTTGTCCACACTCATGGCACCTGCACTGTCAAACTCTCCACAATAATTGGGTGCAGAAAACAGAGTGACCAACTGCCTTTTTGAAAAAAAAAAATCATATCCATCTTCAACCACCTGGTGGGCTCTACATATAAGATCCAAGTCATGCTTATGGAGAAATTTTACAACCACTTCTGCACCAAATGTGAAGGACACTCCTCTGTCATTTTCACCCCAGACTAAAACATCTTTATCAGGGTCAGACCACAAAAGATCACAAAGAAGACCTTGATCTGGTACATTAGTTGGTCTCTTAATTCCCTGAATCCACTCTATAGATTGAAGATCTGGTGATAAACATCCATGACAGCAGAATATCATCTCATCCACAATGGCTGCTATTGGTAAACAGTTTAAAGCAGTCTGTGAAAGTTTTCCATAGTTTAATGTTATATCTTCTTTTACATTCATCATAATCCATAAATTCTATTGATGCTGGCACACTCATGGTTTCCTCTGAGAAGAAAAAAATCTCGGGATATTTTTTTTTTAAATTTTTTTATTGTTATGTTAATCACCATATATTACATCATTAGTTTTTGATGCAGTGTTCCATGATTCATTGTTCGTTCATAACACCCAGTGCTCCATGCAGAACGTGCCCTCCTCAATACCCATCACCAGGCTAACCCATCCCCCCACCCCCCTACCCTCTAGAACCCTCAGTTTGTTTTTCAGAGTCCATCATCTCTCATGGTTCGTCTCCCCCTCTGACATACTCCCCTTTTCTTCCTCTCCTGTTATCTTCTTCTTTTCCTTTTTTCTTAAAATATGTTGCGTTATTTGTTTCAGAAGTACAGATCTGTGATTCAACAGTCTTGCACAATTCACAGCGCTCACCGTAGCACATACCCTCCCCAATGTCTATCACCCAGCCATCCCATCCCTCCCACCCCCAACCACTCCAGTAACACTCAGTTTGTTTCCTGAGATTAAGAATTCCTCATATCAGTGAGGTCATGTGATACATGTCTTTCTCTGATTGACTTATTTCACTCAGCATAACACCCTCCAGTTCCATCCACGTCGTTGCAAATGGCAAGATCTCATTCCTTTTGATGGCTGCATAAGATTCCATTGTGTATATATACCACCTCTTCTTTATCCATTCATCTGTCGATGGGCATCTTGGCTCTTTCCACAGTTTGGCTATTGTGGACATTGCTGCTATAAACATTGGGGTACACGTACCCCTTCGGGTCCCTACATTTGTATCTTTGTGGTAAATACCCAGTAGTGCAATTGCTGGATCGAACGGTAGCTCTAATTTCAACTGTTTGAGGAACCTCCATACTGTTTTCCAGAGTGGTTGCACCAGCTTGCATTCCCACCAACAGTGTAGGAGGGTTCCCCTTTCTCCACATCCCCGCCAACATCTGTCGTTCCCTGACTTGTTAATTTTAGCCATTCTGACGGGTGTGAGGTGGTATCTCATTGAGGTTTTGATTTGGATTTCCCTGATGCCGAGTGATGTTGAGCACTTTTTCATGTGCCTGTTGGCCATTTGGATGTCTTCTTTGGAGAAATGTCTGTTCATGTCTTCTGCCCATTTCTTGATTGGATTATTTGTTCTTTGAGTGTTGAGTTTGATAAGTTCTTTATAGATTTTGGATACTAGCCCTTTATCTGATATGTCGTTTGCAAATATTTTCTCCCATTCTGTCGGTTGTCTTTTGGTTTTGTGGACTGTTTCTTTTGCTGTGCAAAAGCTTTTTATCTTGATGAAATCCCAATAGTTCATTTTTGCCCTGGCTTCCCTTGCCTTTGGCGATGTTTCTAGGAAGAAGTTGCTGCGGCTAAGGTCGAAAAGGTTGCTGACTGTGTTCTCCTTTAGGATTTGGATGGACTCCTGTCTCACATTTAGGTCTTTCAACCATTTGGAGTCTATTTTTGTGTGAGGTGTAAGGAAATGGTCCAGTTTCATTCTTCTGCATGTGGCTGTCCAATTTTCCCAACACCAT